CCCGAGTTGATAATAAATTGCTGTCTACTGCATTTGTATTTACATAAACACGTCGGCATGGCGCTTAGATTTGGCAATTCCAACCTTGTCACAGTTGGCGTCATTAACGAGGGGGGATTACTCGATCATAAATGTATTACTGCTCCACTAGCATCCGAATTGATTAACTTTAATTCTTATTCTGATCACACAATACTCTTACCAACGATTTTTTAGGTGTAACTTATTTTAGTAATAATAGCAGTGTAGGCTACTGTTTCTAATCTTGTTTTAAAGAATAATGCTGAATATAACATGCTATATAAATACTTTTCGAGAGGGTATAATTGAATACGCTGCGCCTTTACACACATGTTTCTTGTTTTACTTTTCCGCTCATGTGATTAGCATGTGACTATTTGATTGTTTTTACTTTGTTTGGTTTAATTTCTTTAATTTTTGTCATGTGCTGTGACACTTGTTGCTCACCATACGAATAAATTATATTGAGCTTGAGGATAATGCGTAGTCATTGTATGCAATTATGCGAATTCAAGCTTTATGTTCGATAGTGAAGTGCTCTTCTTTAGTCCAGATCAATCTGACGCAAACCAATCTCATCTAAAATTATACCTATAATTAGCACATTGAGATAATCGCAACGATGAATGTGGAGAGCGCTTTTAACAATGAATTTGTGAAACCCTGAATTGTTCATTTGACAACGGTAATTTTAATAAAATTAACCATTCGACCTGATAATTAGATTGTATAGCTTTTATTGGTTATAGCCTGCCAATCGATTGATCTGATAGCCGCGATGGAAGTATTATCCACTTGGATTTGACTGTTTCTTATCGACGCCATATTGATCCATCCATCAAAATTATGTGGCTATCAATAATCACTTTACTTTAATTAAACGTTTCGAGATTGCCAAAATAATACCTCACTATTAAACATGTTTGTTTAATATAAACATTTGGATGTTGCTGTAGGCTTTTTATTATATTTTTAATAGGCTATAGAAATATGTTTTCTTGCTTGGGTCATAAAGTGATTTAGCTAAAATTATATTACTTTATAGCCTGGTATTTGCGCTCACGCGCTTAATTTTTATCTTTTCCCCATGGATATAAGCGAATGGCCCTCATACGTATATATGTAGATGCTAAGCGATATATTTGCCCAAAGATTTCATCCAATTTTTAATTAAGTTCGGTGGCTTTTGCGCCCCATCCTTTATAATTTTTGTACCGTACTGCAGGTGTTGTTGCTATTTGGACCCTTATCGCCTTTTTTGCGGCTCGGGAGGTGTTTCTAGCACCGTCTGAGATGCTGGCTCCCCAGTCGCCACACAGTTTTAGCCAAGATCACTTTGTTTTATCGCCAGCTTGCTAATTTCTATCATATGAGTTCGAAAATGTCGTCTCACAAAAAAGTAAGTAATTTATCATGTCATCCATATGGCAGCACACTTCACGTTTCTTTTGGTTTCTGTAACTTAAATCTATAAAGAATTATTACACTAAAGCTAATTGTTTGGAGTCTGATACATAGTTCATAATATTTTGCTTTGATTTAGGGGCATCATGTGAGTTTCATTTCATAGAATTCTTCGTACATAACTTTAGACATTGTATTTAAGCTGGTGACTGTTTTGATGTTTTTACATTTTTTTCTTACAAAACCCAGTTTTAGAAGGAAATGTGCAAGTAAAGAGCAGCATTTCTAAAGATTTATGTCTGATGATTATTATTTTTGAAGTGTTCATTTAACAAGAATGTGACAAATACTCATTTGATGTTAAGCCATATTTTTTTCCCTTAATAAAATAAATAAATAAAAATAAAAAAAAATACCAAAATGGGCCAAAATTTTCAAAGAATTCCAAATTGTTACAACCTTGCAATTAAACATCATAACCAAGTAGCTCTGCTTAGTCATTATTATTTTAAGTATATCATTTTTATTATAAAGTATTCCCTTTTACTTTTAAATTTTTTGAGCTTGAATTCAAATCCTGTCAACCCTTTGCAAGCATTAAGGTTAATAATGCGTTGACGGTTTTTAAACTTAACAGAAACATAATGCCCGATATTTGTCCTACACTGCTTAATTGGTCAAGCAGTGCGCAGATGTATAACAGAACGCGATAAAGCTTTCACTCTCTTTAAATGGTTTTTCTCTTAAATTTTTATTCCTATATCAATTTCCTAAAAGTTATGAAAGTTCAACATTATTGGTTTAGTACTCTGTACTCTGTACTCCCTGACTAACGATCCATATTAATGTGGGGTTGTCATTTCGCAAATTAGGGGCAGAACTTTTAGATTGACTAAGACAATAATGAATCTAATATAGTGCAGACGAACTAAAAGAACCGGTACACTTAAGTAAATGTGATAAATCCAACAGATGCGCGAAGATATGTGACCCAAAGCCTAGTCTACACATTGAGACTATTAAAGCAAGTAATCGCAATTTATGCGGCTTAAGTGATCCGACACAGTGGGTCGAGCAATGCCAAAATTCCCATAAAACGAAAGGTTGACTAAAGAGCTCAGTCAAGGGGGAAATACTTTTAACTTAAGACATTAAAACTCTTTAATTGTCTAAGGACGATTATTCCTCATTTTAAACCTTAAAATTTATTAATATTAAATATGAATTTTAAGGAGGTTCAGACTTAGTACCAAAGATAAATTAAATTAAGAATGGAAAAATACACTAAATACCACTGTGCACCGCACTTCGTGTCATCCAAGCGCTTGGCATTTTCACTTTTTTGCCGTTGACCAGACCACAGATTATTAAATTTATGAAATTCTATTGATGTTTACACGCAAACTTTGACCGCTCGAGAGTCACTGGTCATGTAGTACATGGGAACTACAATATATATGTGGCGACTGGCGTCCGCAAACTTGAGACTGCTGAAAGACCAGACGAGTGCTTCGGTGTCTGTGTACTAAATTTAATGGAATCTTGAATTTAAGCGGGTCCAGAGCGGTCTATCCTCATGACTTTGTTCAGTTGGATTTAAGACTTGGTTCGGCTCACACGCAGCCAGGAGTATTTCGCATACTTAGCAAACGGAACTCAAATACGGGAAATGAACGATATCTGTGCCATGGACGTGACGAAACCGTATCGGTCCCATCTTTGATAGTGCGCCATCGATCGCGTTGAACTGCTATAAACCCATTAAAAACCCATTCGAACTGACACCAGCAGTATGGTTTATTTCGGCGATAGGCATCGCGATCGCAATCGCGATCGGAGTAATCAGAAAGTCGAGCGAATCATTCACGATGAAGAGTTTGGCGAGGAGAACGTCGAGCTGGTGGACTCGGAGTGGGCGGACTTCGAGAAGTTCATTTGCCAGTTGCGAAAGCGGCGCACCAGTAACATGTCCATCGGCGAGGAGCTGCGTCACGTGCAGCGGCAGCCGAAGATTAAGTCGCACGCCTTCTATCCGTGTCCGCCTCCAGCCGAAAATGCACGCGACTCGGACTCCTCGGACGAAGATGACCCCATCGGATACATCGATACCCTTGTAAGCATACCAGCATATCTAAATCTGGAATAGAACACGGTTACTGTTGGGGTAAATCCAGTGTTCTGGTTGGCAACGCAAGACGACAAGTTCTTATCTGTATATCTGTCCCAGGCACTTGCATACGTTTTCTTTAGCACTTTTACAGCAACCGTCAAAATAGTAGTACTTTGCTAAAACTATCAAATTTTTTAGACCTTTTCTACTTTTAAATAGAAATTGCGATATTCACTAATACTTAGTTTTTCAATTACTTCCTGTTTATATATATATTGAGTTTTCCAGCTAATAAATAAAAAAACACTTTTTTTAGTTTTTTCTTAACAGACAAAAAATAATGTTTTTTATATACGCTCAAAATTAATTTTTTATAAGTTGGAAAACACGAACATTATACAAAAATTGCTTAACTCGAACTTATTTTCTAGCCGTAGGTGTATTTTATATAAACGTCTGCGAATTGTCGTGATTATACTACCAATAATTCTGATTATCCGACTTTCTTATTATTATTACCCCTTTTGATGACGCAAGGAGCGTCAACATTTATTAATGCTCACGTAGAAGCAGTCGTAAAATATTCCAATAACATATGTTTATTATCAATCTGTTAAGATACAATATTAAATCAAAAAGAAATCCGTTGAAAAGATTTAAATTTCACTTAACTTGTTTACAAAATTAATCATTCGCACTGTGGGCATGGCAATGAAAATTAAGCTGATATTTGGGAATTGTTTATTTTTTCGATTTAAAAGTGTACTGTTTTATTTGTACATTTTTCGTCACACACGTTTGGTTGTACATCTGCCGTGAAACCATCGATCAAAAAAAAAAAACGTTTTATGATTTCTGAATGGTTTTCCAAGCTTTTTTTGCTCGCCGCTTTTCCTGCCAGTTGTCTCTGGCGATTTTCCCACATCTATTCGCATCTGGGCCTTTGTAAAAGCAATGCAAAAACAGTGTACGAATGACAAAACAAGCAAAGACTTTAGCTATTTTTAATCCGATTATAACGGAAAGTGTTTATTATATTTAAAGAAAGCAACAAATATTCCATTGCTAAGGGTAGTAGGGTGCCGGAAAAGAGTGACCGTACCGGGAACTCGTAGGTGAGAACAATCCGCATATCCTTGTATTGAAAAACTCCCAAGCACTTAAATCACACACATGTAGTTATTTCAAGAACACGTCTTAAATTGATAATCCATTATCGTGCAATTAAATTTATGAACCATTTCGAAATACCAAAGCATTTGCCTTTGGCTGCCGAACGGGCAAAACTTGAAAACAATTTTAAGATTCATATTTTGTTTACACATCCCTCACACATTTTTTCATATTCTGGCTGGCCGTTTTTTAAAATCGCCACAGCGTGCTACCCTGCCGCAGCGTCTAGCCAAAAGAAATTTCAATAATTTTCCACACCGAGCGCCGAAAGCTCGACAAGTCAGTTTAGTTTCAAAAAAGTTTACGCCAATACAAGAACGCTCGTTGGCAGTCAAAAAACCAGGAAAAACCAAAAATCAATAGATAATGAATGTCATTAAAAAGTGCAAATTATTGGAAAATATATAGGAAAGTCTTGGTGTGATTTTGTGTGGCCGCATTTTCCGGTTTTCGATCGAGATCGAAGCGTAAATCAAATTTATATGAGCGGTCGAGCTGTAAACAGACCACGACCCAGAGTAAAATGTTAAAAATAAATGGCAATGCATTTTACAATCGCCGTGTTTCCGAGACGGGGCTCAAGGGCTGTGGCGTCCACCTCTAATTACGTCTGGCAGTGGCAGTGAGATCCCAAGACTTGTACTGCATCCGAGATAACCGAAAAACTAAAAATAATTGGCGAACAAGATGCGACACAAATATTCGGCCAACAGCCGCGGGCATGTCAAAGGCCGCCAACCAGATCCGTCTGACTGTGACTGTGAATTCTGATTAATTGATAGTGATTGCGAGTGCTACTTTGATCGTGATTTTGAGTACGGGAACTCGTTCGTGTGCATCGCTTGCTTCATGTTTAACAACAGCCACTTGCACCAGGATGAATACATTCGCGAATACGCCTTCGAGCCGGAGCTGTTGATCAATCGCGAGGACTACCAGCGGAAAGAGGAGCGCTCCCAAAAGTCCACCGCCTCAACGCCCGTCCGCCAGCGCTGGGATGACGTCATCGCCAAGCAAAAGGAGCAGCAACGCAAACAGAGCATCGATCCGCCCGGCGAAGACAAGAACCAGATCGAGATCGAAATCGAGGCCTTTTACTATGTGAGTGGCCCGCGGGCCACCTGTCCAAGGCATCCATGGTCATGGGTGCAGCTATAGATCCCCTCGAAGCACACCGAAAGAAAAAATCACTCCAATATGGGCTTTTGATAACTAACAAGTTTTGCGCCTATAAATCAGTTTAAGGCCTTCTCCCTTTCTTATTAATTGGAATTAGTATTATTTATTTATTCTCTTCGTAAGGATTTTAAGCTAAATGCATAAATCTTTATCTTTATCTTAATAACAAAACTTAGCACGTGAAATTTTTCTCATTAAATGTAAATTTTTTATTAATTCTATAAGTTTAAATTATTTTTTTTTGTGAGGGCTTTAAGTCTGAAATACAAGGCTTAAAAGTTAAAAACATGAAAACAAAAGAAAAATCAATTTTAGTTTTCTAAAATGTCTAACCCTGTTGTCTACAAAAACCATGGTTGAAAAATAATATACAGTATTTATTTATTTTATTTCCCCCCGTTGCAACGACCAACCTCTTGCATTGACCCTCAAAAGCATACACAGAAAGAAAATCAAAATCCCTGAAGCTTGCCCTTCAGTTCAAAAATAATTCCGATATTTATGCCGAGAACAATCTACATTTTCACTTTCTCAAATAATTTCGTGACCCATAAAGTGACGTATAAACAATTTAGTACACAAATAGTTTCAGCTGTTAGACTTCTCAAATCACCCAGTCAAATGGTAGCACAAATTTACCGGTAAATACATTTAGATTTTGTTTTAAAAAGATATTACTGTTAATTCATTCAGATGTACAGGTTAGTGAAATTTAAAAGAGGTTTTTAACTTAAAACAAGAACGTGTTCAAAGCTCACTATAATATCATACATAAAATGCAATTAGGCATTTATAATTAACTTATGTATAACACTTTACTTCTATAAACCGTAAAGTATCTAGATGGGTAATATAAATGTAGTATACAATTTCTCTTAGTGCAACTGTCTGTGCACTTCCTACTCTGTCATCAGTTCTTTTTCTCTCGCCATTTGTCTAGAATGCTCAAGGCAAATGTAATTGTGTGTTTTCAACACAGGTAGCACAAAAAGCTTCTTTGTTTTTTCTTTGAAAACATGCATTTACCATAAATATAATTAGAAATTTTACACACACAATATGACCTTTGTGATTATGTTATTAAAGCTCAGGATTTGACTAATTTTCAATTTATCTTCGCAGATGTATGGTCGTTACACCAAAGATCTAGGAGAATTTGCCAAGGATGAAGCCAGAAAGCTCAAAATACTCGAAAAGCGACGAAAGCAGGAAGATAAACAAAGGAATAAGGTAAAATTTAATAGGACGTTAAACCATAGTGTTCGTTCTTATTCCCATAGAATGCATTGTTAATAATGGCTTTTGCGATTTATTTAAACTAACTATGCAAACTAAACACGAGAAAATTGAATATTTAAGGTATGCGCAGAAATTTCAAACAAAATCAATGCCCAAAAGGGCTAAGTAAACTTGAATTGTATTTCCATATGATCGTATTATTATTTTGTTAAGATCTTCTTGAACGTATCGGTTTATAAAGCAGCAGTGCTGGGAAATATTTTCAGGAACTGCTGGGCAAGCACTCGAACCGGGCGAAGAAGGTGTCATCATGGGTCTGGAAGCACACGGTGGCCCGACTGGGCGAGGATTGGGTCTTTCTGGCGCTGCTGGGCATCATTATGGCGATGCTCTCGTTCATCATGGACAAGGGCATTTCCATATGTACAAACGGTAAGGCCACCCAGATTAATCGATTTTCAGCACGTTTTTAGTAGCCATTGTTTTTATTTATATTTTTTTTCCTATTCCTCTCCTCTAGCGCGAATTTGGCTATATCGCGATCTGACGTCACAGCCTTTTGTTCAGTACATAGCATGGGTCTCACTGCCGGTCTGTTTGATATTATTCTCAGCCGGCTTTGTCCATCTCATCGCACCGCAAAGTATAGGTAAGCGTTCGCCCCGTCATACATCCACATGAAATCACTTTTTCAAATCATTTCCCTTCCTTCTAATAACTTTCTTTTCCTTAGTCTAACTTGTGTAGTTAAATTGGTTATATTTTTTGGTAAAAATGTTTTGAATTTCGCTAGCTTGAATTGTTGCCACTCTTCCATTTGAGCTGACGTCGGTTTTCCAAAATTGTAGAAATTGTATGAATTTTGTGCTTACTTACTTTACTTCTATGGTTGCTTAGGGCAAGGCAAACGAACTAATCTTGATTGTTTTATATAACGAAATAGACTCTTTTTCCCAAAAAAAAAAAAAACTCTCAAAAGAACTCTCTTAGGGCCTGTTAGTTTAACTTTCTTGTAACTTCTTAATTTTGATTTAAAAATACTCATAGTACCACTGCACTCCGGCAGCTGCCCACTCCAAGCACACTTGGCACCTCCAATCTGTGTACCCATGTGTCTACATGTTAAATACTCGAACCACTATCTGCACACCTCAGAAAAACTTACCACTAACTAAAAATACAATACACTGTATATAAACCACTGCGAGTATGATCAATGCAAATCTACATAACCAAACTGTGTCTAGGTTCTGGTATACCCGAAATGAAGACCATACTGCGCGGCGTTCAATTGAAAGAGTATCTCACATTTAAGACACTAGTGGCCAAGGCAATTGGTTTAACGGCAACTCTGGGCAGCGGTATGCCATTAGGAAAGGAAGTAAGTATAAGAATTGATCTCACACTGCATGCGAACATGCCGCTGAGGCGAAATTAAGTGCAATTTGGAAAATCTATAACATCTGTGCGCATCTGTATTTTCACCAGGGTCCTTTTGTACATATAGCAAGTATTGTAGCACAATTATTAAGTAAACTTGTCACATCATTCCAAGGCATATATGAGAATGAGTCGCGTAACTCCGAAATGTTGGCGGCAGCCTGTGCCGTGGGTGTGGGCGCCTGTTTTGCCGCGCCCGTGGGCGGTGAGTATACCCGAACTGCGATCCTGACCTCTGACATTTGACCTCTGACCTTCTGCCCCCTCCCCCTCAAAAGGTGTGCTCTTCAGCATTGAGGTCACCACCACCTATTTCGCGGTGCGTAACTACTGGCGCGGCTTCTTCGCGGCCGTTTGTGGCGCCACTGTCTTCCGCCTGCTGGCCGTGTGGTTCCAAAACGCCGACACCGTTCGAGCCCTCTTCCTCACGAACTTCACCACCGAGTTTCCCTTCGATCCCCAGGAGCTCTTTGTCTTCGCCTTGATCGGGTAAGTCACTGGTCTGTTCAACCGCTTTCCTGCTACATCAATTGATTTTGTTCTAGACTTGTCTGTGGCTTGGGTGGCGCCTCCTACGTGTGGGTCCATCGGCGATATGTCCTTTTTATGCGCTCCAACAAGCGGATGAACAAGTTCCTTCAGAAGAAGTAAGTTCTTAAGATTGAAAGTGTCTTTTTTTGCTTGCTAGAATATAATTATTATTTTGTTGTTTTTCACTGCATTAAACTTAATCAGTCTCCAAAAGATTATTAGATGAGATTATAAAAAAATATATAAAAATAAAATCACAATTTATTGAATTTTTTTTTGATTATTATTTATTTGATTTGAGAGATGATTATGATTATGAATATTTTTTTAAAACAAGTAATTTTTAAATTGTGAATTTATTTTATTACTTATAATAATTTATTCTTACCAACGAAAATAAATTTTGAACCTAAAAAATACAAATGATATCTGAAAAGTGTTTCCTTAAAATTGAACTATTTTTAATTAAGAATGTTTAATAAAGATCTAAGAAACAAACTATTTAACCATTTTTAAAGCTTCTTAGATAGTAGGAACAAAAGTTATTAAAAAAAGAAAAATAAAAAATCTCGTAATTGTTATTTTTTTAAATCCGTTCCAGAAAATTATACGTTATTACTAAAAAATGTATAGTATAAAGAAGTAATTTTGTCAAATTATTTTTATATATTTTGTGAGTTTATTTTGGAGTTTTAATATAGCCCATACTAAATTGAATTAAAACATTGCAATTTCATATTTTTCTCCTTTTAGTCGCTTTTTGTATCCGGGATTCCTGGCCCTGCTGGTCTCCAGCATATCGTTTCCTCTGGGCACTGGCCAGTTCCTGGCCGGCGAGCTGAGCACCCACGAGCAGGTGACGCAGCTCTTCAGCAACTTTACCTGGTCGCGGGATGATCTGACCGTGGAGCAGGCGGCCGTGGTGACCCATTGGATAACAAGCTACACCAGCGTGTTTGGCAACCTGGTCATCTACACCCTCTTTACGGTAAGTAGTGCTTGGATGAAGTATTTGAATACTGAACAAAGACGACTGGCGTTTGCAGTTTGTGTTCTCCATCATAGCCTCCACGATACCAGTGCCGTCGGGCATGTTTATTCCGGTCTTCAAGATCGGGGCCGGCTTTGGTCGGCTGGTGGGCGAGTTCATGGCGGTGACCTTTCCCCACGGCGTCCGCTACGGCGGTCGGCTGTCACCCATCATGCCCGGTGGCTATGCCGTCGTCGGAGCGGCCGCCTTCTCCGGATCCGTGACGCACACGGTGTCCGTGGCCGTGATCATTTTCGAGATGACCGGCCAGATCACGCACGTGGTGCCCGTGATGATTGCCGTACTGGTGGCCAATGCCGTGGCGGCGCTGCTCCAGCCGTCGATATACGACAGTATTATATTGATTAAGAAGCTGCCCTATCTTCCCGATCTGTTGCCCTCCAGTTCCGGTATGTACAGCATATTCGTGGAGGACTTTATGGTGCGGGACGTGAAGTACATATGGCACGGCATCTCCTACCAGAAGCTCAAAGAAGTCCTCAAGCTGAACAAGACGCTGCGATCCCTGCCGCTGGTGGACAGTCCGGATAACATGATCCTGCTGGGCTCCGTGCAGCGCTACGAGCTGATCAAGATGATCGAGAAGCACATTGGTCGCGAGAAGCGCATGGAGGTGGCCCAGAAGTGGCAAAAGGAGGCACAGGAGCGGGCGATAGAGGAGGAGAAGAAAAAACAGGAGGTGGAGCTGAAAATGCGCCGTCCGTCGCGGTTCGAAGTCCTTCCCGCCCCCGATATTCTCAGTTTGCGGCAAATCGCCAACGACGAGATGCTGCCGCCCAAGAAACGGGCGGAGACTTTGCACAGTTCGTTGGCGCCAAGGAAGTCCATCCTAAAGAAGACCAACTCCTTCAACTTGAAGACCTACGCCCAACCCATGGCCCACAGTCCCAGCATCACGCCGTACACCACGATCACCGGCAACTCCGAGTTCCGCATCCGCTCGGCCTTCGAGGCCATATTTAAGAAGTCCACCACGCTCCAGGACGTCCAGCCGGATCCGGAAACGGGCTCCCTCTCTCCGGCCGCCAGCCACACTGAGGTGGAGGTGCCGCGCACTCCCAGCACTCCGGGCGTTTCCAAAAAGGTTCAGCTGGTGAGTAAATATATCTTCATTACTATTAAGGTTGGGTTGGTTTTAATAGTATGGCCAAGTAAACCGGGAGGTGGAATATCTATTTTCAAGTCTGCACAAAGTAATTGGGATTTTGTTACCGATCAAATTATGCTGGTAAGTACCAGTCTAACAACTTTCATTTCATTCTATCCATAAACTTGAAAAATGTTTACACATGCTTAACCAACTCTAATATCTGCAAGCAAGTAAACCCTATTTCAACGAAAGAAACAACATTGGTAAGGTTTAAAATCATGTAGACAGAGATAAACTAAAGTAGAATCCAGAGATTTTTGTATTTGGCTTATAGAGTAATATTTAGTTAATTAATTAGCTGATCAAATGAAATATAGAACTTAGAACAAAAAATCCAGTTAAGCTAAGATTTACATTTTATCAAAGTTTAATTTTGAAGTCTAAACATTAAACGTTTTGTATAAAGCCTGCTGAAAAGGATAGCACGGAAATAGCAATATTAAATAGTGGGGAAAATTCAAGCCAATCACCGAGCATTAAATTCAAAACAAATAAAGTTGCAGATGTTGATAGGTCTCCTCAAACGACTAAAAAGTGCACGAAAATAAGGTTTGCCAACGAAGTTCGAGTTAAGGGTTCGCCCACACGAATTAAATTTGAATTAAAAGAAGAACCAACTGAAATGGGCTATTCTATAGATGATGTCGATGAAGCAACAGGTTTAGAAACGGATGTTGAGGTAGGTAAACATTTAACAACTTGACTTACCATTATGTCATTAACCACTTATCTATGTTAACAAAAACTATATGTTTTCATCTGTTTTATAAATATCTTTTTTCACCTAAATAAGAGCATTCACAAGACGAAATCGGTGCAGTTGGTACGTCCAGGATAAATCTTTTTGATTATGCCCTACTCTTGTTTTATAATAATTATATTATTTTTTATGTAATTTCAGCCCAGGGAACGCGTCATTGACATGTCGCCAGAGGATCAAAAGCAATGGGAGCTCGAGGAGATGATGAAACCCATCGATCTGCAAAAGGCCAATGTGCACATCGATCCCTCGCCGTTCCAACTAGTGGAACGCACCTCCATACTCAAGGTTCACTCGCTGTTCTCGATGGTGGGCATCAACCACGCCTATGTCACCAAGATCGGAAGGCTTGTGGGCGTTGTGGGACTCAAAGAAGTAAGACTTGTTAGATATAATAAAAAGACAATACCTAATAACTTATAATCTTCTACAGTTGCGCAAGGCCATCGAGGACATCAATAGCAATAGCTTTGTGCCACCCACACGGGATGAAGATGCGGAGGACAAGCCGGCGGTTGAAAAGCCCCTGCTGTCGACGAACACTAGCGATAAGGCCGTGGACATGACCGTGACCTCAATGGACTCGGCTCTATCCAATTCCGAGAACTGCTCGGACATCGAAATGGAGCACCTAAAGCACACGGATAAGGGCACAGTATCGCTTACCATGCCGCCCCAGGAATCTAAACAAAATGCATCGGCGGACACAAATACCACAGAAAACGGCAATCATGCTTGATACAAGATGATCGGCTATCAGAATAGTACATACGATACGTATACGTAATATGTTTGTAAAGATCAGCTAAATCCTATCATAAGTTACGTCTTACACGAGTTAGTCATCAATGTTATTATGTATTTATGTCTCGTTAGTTCATAATGTCAAAGATATCGTGATTTATATATATAAGTTGAAAAGAAAATCAAGTCACCAACGAAGTCTCTGTTTTTTTAATTGAATCAGTAATTTAATGGGTATTATAGAATAGTTTCAAATAGAAAATACTTTTCGAGTTGTACAAAAGGATGAAGTTTTCTGGGGTTCTTTATTTTAAAACAAGTCTATTCTTTTTACTACCAACTCTAAGAAATCACCATTTTCCAAGTTATTTATTTTCATTTGATTTTTAAATTAAACTTTTAAACCCGCGCCGATATACTGTTATCGGAGCCAAAAACTATCGATACCTACAGGAAAGCGCCAATAAACTATCGCCACTTTCGTCAGCTGATGCAAACAGTGTTGCAAAATTCACGAAATTAATTGTGTATTGCATCTATCTTTTTCTATGCAAACTTAAAAATAATAATTATAGCCCGAATTCCTTCACGTTTGCAGGCAGTGAGCAGGAATTTCGGCTGCAGCCGGCTGCGAGGTGCGTGCGCAAATATATATAGATCTGCCAGACTTATTCCCGGCGCATTCATGCCACTTTTTGCGTGGCGGGGTGTGGTTAACAAAAAAAAGAGTGAAGACGAGACTCGTAAAGCCTGAAAAACGCCTCCGGGGCTATAGACAACACAATAACAATTTGGCCCGTCCATCGGCGTCGTAGAGCTAATCATTTATGCCGAACGCAGAGACGGAGCCTAATTAGCATATCAAATTGGATGACGGCACTGGGCGAATAGTCGCCATCTGCCGCTGCCCCCTGCTACAAGACAAAACAAAAAAAGAAGCAAAATAAAACATCTTGTATTTCATATTCCCTAGATTTGGCCAGTAAGCACCCATAAAACGATGTGCTGGGCAAGATGTCCCGGCTCGCTGATTACTTCGTAATAGTCGGCTACGACAGCGATAAGGAGAGTGAGTATATCCAGATTCCAAGTAATAATTGTACGAATCATCTAACTACCCCTAATTTCTTTCCCCAGAGACGGCCAGCAATGTGGGCGGTCAGCCGACTTGCGGCAAGATCGTGCAGCGCTTTCCCGAGAAAGATTGGCCGGACACTCCGTTTATCGAGGGCATTGAATGGGTGCGTTTCCCAACATTCCACATTCCGCACACATGAGCATATCTGAATTTTCCTTATCGTTTCGCCAGTTTTGCCAGCCGCTCGGCTGGAGTTTATCGTACGAGAAGCAGGAGCCCAAGTTCTTCGTCTCCGTGCTGACGGACATAGATGCCAACAAGCACTACTGCGCCTGCCTCAGCTTCCACGAGGCGGTGGCCATCACCCAGACGCGCAGCGTGGACGACGAGGATGAGACCATCGGAAGCAGCAGGCTGCTGGGGGCCACGCCCTCCTCGACGGATGGAATCGCTGCAACAACCACGCCGGCTCCCATTACCCACCACAGCGTCATGTATGCGCCCAAGTGCCTGGTGCTCATATCGCGTTTGGACTGTGCCGACACCTTCAAAGTGAGATGTCAAGCTAAAGACAAGGATGAGCGCTAACCTTATCCTTAATTACAGAATTGTCTCGGCACCATATATACGGTGTACATTGAGAACCTGGCCTATGGCCTGGAGACACTGATCGGAAACATTTTGGGCTGCATCCAGGTTCCTCCAGCGGGGGGCCCGCAGGTGCGCTTCTCCATTGGAGCAGGAGACAAGCAGTCGCTGCAGCCGCCGCAGAGCTCCTCGCTGCCCACAACCGGCAGTGGTGTGCACTTCCTCTTCAAGCAACTGGGCATCAAGAATGTGCTGATCCTGCTGTGCGCCGTGATGACCGAGAACAAGATACTGTTCCTATCCAAATGCTATTGGCACTTGACGGACAGCTGCAGGGCCTTGGTGGCCCTGATGTATCCCTTCCGGTACACTCATGTTTATATACCCATACTGCCGGCGCCACTCACGGAGGTGCTGTCCACACCCACTCCGTTCATCATGGGCATACACAGTTCGCTGCAAACTGAGATTACGGATCTGCTGGACGTCATTGTTGTGGATTTGGATGGCGGTCTGGTTACCATTCCCGAGTCACTTACTCCACCTGTTCCTATACTCCCCTCACCCCTGTGGGAGCAGACGCAGGAGCTGCTCAGCATGATCCTGTTCCCAAATTTGGCGCAGGCGGATCTAGCATTTCCCACACCGGAGCGGCCTTCCTCTCTGGCCAAGACTGACGCTCAGATCGACAAGGAACTTCGCGCTATATTCATGCGTCTTTTCGCCCAGCTCCTGCAGGGCTATCGCTCCTGCCTGACCATCATTCGGATCCACCCCAAGCCGGTGATCACCTTCCACAAGGCTGGTTTCCTCGGAGCCAGGGATCTCATCGAGAGCGAGTTTCTGTTTCGTGTGCTGGATAGCATGTTCTTTACCACGTTCGTCAACGAGCGAGGTCCTCCCTGGCGGGCCTCCGATGCCTGGGATGAGCTCTACAGCTCGATGAACGAGCTGCTCAAGTCGGAGGCGCAGAATCGGAATCTCGTAAGTAAAAGTTTCACTTGTGGCGGGCTTAAGATTGATCTTATTATCACCCTTCAGATACTCACACATATCCAGGAGTTGGGTCGCGTTCTGTACGAGAACGAGGGCACCCTGGCCCACACCAGCTATGCGCAGAAGGTCCTCCGTCCGCCGGAGGGCGCATTCCAACGCATCCACCAGCCCGCCTTCCCGCGAATCAGCTCGGAAAAGGTGGAGCTAATCATCCAGGAGGGAATTCGCAAGAACGGAGTGCCGCAGCGCTTTCATGTGACGCGTAATCAGCACCGGATCATTCCCATGGGACCCAGGTTGCCGGAGGCTCTGGACGTGCGACCCAATGTCCAAAACTCTGCTCGCCGGCTGGAGGTGCTGCGCATCTGTGTGTCGTACATCTTCGAGAACCGGATTACAGATGCCAGAAAACTACTGCCGGCTGTGATGCGCACCCTAATGCACAGGGATGCGAGGTTGATTCTCTGTCGCGAGTTTTTCGGTTATGTGCATGGCAACAAAGCGGTGCTGGACCATCAGCAGTTCGAGTTGGTTGTGCGATTCATGAACAAGGCACTGCATAAATCCTCCGGAGTCGATGAGTACACAGTGGCCGCGGCTCTGCTGCCCATGTCCACGATCTTTTGCCGCAAGCTGTCCACTGGAGTGGTGCAGTTCGCCTACACAGAGATCCAGGATCATGCCATATGGAAGAACCTGCAGTTCTGGGAGTCCACATTCTTCCAGGACGTCCAGGGACAGATTAAGGCATTGTATCTCCTGCACCGTCGTCAAAACGAGCATCAAAAGGAGGCCAACTGTGTGCTGGACGAGGTTCCGCTGGAGGAGCCCACGGCGCTTGAGATTACGGCCGAGCAGCTGCGAAAAAGTCCCACCATTGAGGAGGAGAAGAAGGCCGAGCTGGCCAAATCGGAGGAGTCTACGTTGTACAGCCAGGCGATTCACTTTGCCAACCGTATGGTCTCCCTGCTGATTCCGCTCGACGTCAATGTGGATGCCGCTAGCAAGCCGAAGCCTGCATTCCGTCTGGAGGAAAATCAGAGTGTTTCCAATAGGTAAGATGGCATCCATAGATGTTTATTTGGAATAATCATTTTTGTGTTACAGTATTATGGGCTCACACAGCCTGAGCGAACATTCCGACGAAGGATTCGAGGAGAACAATGCTCTGGAAATTGGCGTCACGGTTGGGAAGACGATTTCCCGCTTCATTGATTGCGTTTGCACCGAGGGTGGAGTGACCTCCGAGCACATACGCAATCTGCACGACATGGTGCCGGGCGTGGTGCACATGCACATAGAATCCCTGGAACCGGTTTATCTGGAGGCCAAGCGCCATCCGCATGTGCAGAAGCCAAAGATTCAGACACCATGCCTTCTGCCGGGCGAGGACCTGGTCACCGACCACCTGCGCTGTTTCCTCATGCCGGATGGACGCGAAGACGAAACCCAGTGCCTGATACCCGCGGAGGGGGCTCTGTTCCTCACCAACTACCGAGTCGTGTTCAAGGGTTCACCCTGCGATCCGCTCTTCTGCGAGCAGGTCATCGTGCGCACCTTTCCGATTGCCTCCATGCTGAAGGAGAAGAAGGTATCAGTGCTGTACCTGGCCCATCTGGACCAAACGCTGACGGAGGGACTCCAGCTGCGCTCCAGCAGCTTTCAGTTAATCAAGGTCGCCTTCGACCCGGAGGTAACCCCGGAGCAGATCGAGAGCTTCAGGAAGATATTGAGCAAGGCTCGCCATCCGTTCGATGAGTTTGAGTACTTTGCGTTTCAATCGTACGGCACCATGCTCCAGGGCGTGGCACCGCTGAAAACGAAGGAAAAATACTCCACGCTGAAGGGATTTGCCAAGAAGACGCTGCTTCGCGGGGCAAAGAAAGCGGGATTGTTGCAGAAGCCGCAGACCAAGCGCAAGTTGGTCTCCGACTACGACTACGGCAGTGGAGCAGATGCTCAGGAAACGCAGTCCATCGACGATGAACTGGAGGACTTGGACGAGTTCGAGACCCAAAACAATGCCATGCCCAGATTGCTAACGACTAAAGACGTCGAGCGAATGCGAGAGAGGAGCTATGTACAGGACTGGAAGCGACTGGGCTTCGATGCGGAATCGCAGCGTGGATTCCGCATTAGCAACGTCAATACCAGTTATGCCACCTGTCGCTCCTATCCGGCGATAATAGTGGCCCCCGTGCAGTGCAGCGATGCGGCGATAATGCATCTGGGTCGGTGTTTCAAGGGCCAGCGCATTCCACTGCCCACGTGGCGGCATGCGAACGGTGCCCTGCTCATCCGCGGCGGCCAGCCCAACAGCAAATCGGTGATCGGCATGCTGAAGAACACCACGGGAAGCAATACAAACGCCCATCACGATGTCACCCATTACCCCGAGCAGGATAAATACTTCCTGGCCCTGATCAACACGATGCCGAAACTAACGCCGCTGGCCCTCAATCAGTACTCGGGCATGAATCTCTCGATGAGCTCGCTAATGGCCCATGGCCCATCTGATGAGCGGCAGCCGCTTACG